GGCCTATGCATTCGGCGCACGGATCCATAGCTGCCAGCAGTGCATAGATGTGCACGACGTTCCCGCGGTCGCGTGCGCCTTGCCGCGGAACTGCGCGCAACATCTGCGCTTATAGCGCTTGGGATTAACACCTCCTTTCGGCAACGCTTCTCTAGTATCCCGTCTCACCTGGTTACGGGCCTGATAAAGGTTATCAAAATCACAATTTACTATGCTACATTAATGCCTTTGTTATAAAATGATTGATATTATGTGTTTTATTGTATGAAGTGTACATGTAGTATATCAATCTGTAGTAAAAAATTCAATTAAGAAGTTCAAGTAAAAAAATTCTGAATGGTAAACCAGCTATATAGTACCTGGAAACATTGCGTTCATATGAACTTTCCTACTCTCTTTCATTCCAAAATGTCACAAACTGAATTGTAATATAACGAGGTGTTTACAAAAATAATTTTATTTTAGGCATTTGTCTGGCTTAATCATCTTGGCCTTTGTTTGGGAAAGGATGGCATGAGATCTGCAGTAGACCGAATTAGGAAGTCGTTTGACAACGACATTCTTCGCTGTAAAGAGCACAGGCCAAAAACCAGCCAGAAGAAGGCTATTTGATATAAATGGTAAGAAAACTTCTTTCACAGAGAGAACATTGTCGTTTAGTGCCTTCTTTGTGGATTTTTAATTCCTGAATAAATCTGAAAATCATACCAACACATGTTTTAACAAGTGTGACCAATGAATAATTTGATTTTATTACATGCTAAATTCATTTTACGTTTTCTTCAATTTTACAAGCTGTTTTAAATGTATTTTATTTTTCTAGATAATAGTGCCGATGATGATGACGCAATGGACGACACCCTGCCGTATGCGTTTGATTCTGATACTGCAGACGATTTAGATAAAGGTTTGAAGATATCTTATATACATTAATTTAAGTTTAATTTTAAATTGAAGTTGATGTACTATTGATAATTTTTATTTCTTCACTTGATTCCTCAAAGATTTAAAGGGAGAGTTTACTCTAGGTTCTAGGGTTATTTTCAGCTAATTTAGGTTATAATTACGCTACATAAAAATTTCATGGTTCAATCACCATTAGAAATAATTTTTTTTAATGTTTTAAAACTAACGATTACAGTTTGATTACAACGACGGTGTTGCCACTCAAAGCGCACGATCTGATTGTTGCGCAAAACCACTTTCCAGCCAAGGGCTACAGACCGAGGGTGTTTCTTATTTATTCATTTAAAAGCAAAAGGATTGTAATATCTTATAAACGACATATAGTTTCAGTTATAATATGGATAAATTTGCCCTAAAATGAATATCGTTCTATCCAGGGCTGAAGCTAGACAGTATTTTTCCAAATTTTAATGGCACATCCTCCAAAAAGGGCACACCACCCCACAGTGGGCACCGTTATGCGAGGAAGCACATGGCGGGGGGTCTGGGGGCCTCCCCCAGAAAATGTCAAAATTTCAAGGGTTCCTGGGCACAAAAATGAGCACTATTTGAGCACACATTTAGTCAAACAGCAATAGCTAAAATTCATATGGAATTTTATTTCTGCTTCATTTTGCCTGCGCTTTGCATACCAACAATTAATGCAGAATGATTCAAGCACTTCTCTTCTTTTTCAGATATCAAAGCTAGTTTTGTTACCATGTAAAATTTTGATTTCCTTCAAGTCCTGTCAATAAATCAGAAGAAAAAGAAAACAAATAAAGAATATAGCCAAATTCCATCAAATTATTTTCTGTATTTTTTAGCGCAAAATTTCGGAGGGCACTTTGAAATCTAGACCGTATTTTCCAATACGGCAAATACGGTCTGAATCCGCCCCTGGTATAGAAGATGAAAGAGCAAAAGTACACAAAAGCAAGCCACGAGATCGGGGTGTAAACGCTACTCTGAGCCAAGGAGCTACATATAACAGCTATATGTTACAGTTACAGCTACATATAACAGTTATATGTGGCTCCTTGCTCTGAGCCTCAGGTCTGAGCGATGTGATTGACAGTGATTCAGGAAAGGCCAACGAGCTGTGGGTGGGAAATAGTCGCCATCGACGCTAGATGGCAGTAGCGATCAGTGTGAGTCCAAGTCCAATGGCCGAATGTGGACGTGAAATGCGGCATGTTGATAGTGCGTTTGCGAAAAATGACCAAGGGCAACGTTGGTTCAGGTTATTGACAGCGGAGACCAAGTTATATCACTGCGTAAGTGGCCCGGGCAAAGTCGAGTAGAAATGTGACGGCCGCAGGACATGAATGGTAACTGAAATCGCGTGAAATACGCGAGCCGTGAAATCACAGGCACTTGGATTCGGAACGTCTCAATAAAAAAAACGCAGTGGCTGGAGGTACGCCAGCCGTATCTTAATGTCTCGAGGCTACGGGTACGCCAGTCCATTCGCTTTCATACTTAACGAGACAAAGATGGCGGCGGTCGCGCCAGATTTCGAAATAACGCCTTGGGAAATAAATTCACGATTTGAGAGTTTAGATGAGCAAGAACCCTAACTGGGCCCATTGACCCCTCGTTGCACCTGCTGCCACCCCCGTCACGGCAACCCCACCGGCGCGAACCGCCCCCGCGCCGGCCACAATTGTCCGCGGCCCGCACAGGTGATGGCTTTGTCCGCCATACCCCATCGATGCTATACTCACCAGCAGCCCCGACCACGCACTATCACGACGCCAGCTCAGAGGTCGAGAAGCGCATATTAGATTGGGGGTAGCCGGCACCATACTGAGCCACCATTTCTCCCAGTACCGTAACCTTCAAGTTCAGCGGAGGAAGTGTTCGGCCCGCCTTACTTTTAGCCCAGGCCCGTCTTGACCTTTGACCTTGAACGCCCCACGCTTCGGACCAACTCGCCAATCGTTTTCACATCACCGGACCGCCCCCCACACACTCCGCAGAATATCCGTGAACCAACAGTCACTCGAGGCCCGTTTAGTTGTGTGGCCCAACCTAGTTGACTGGACGACGGACGGACGCGACGCTCGCACGGCGGACGGATGGCACGGCACGACTACATGCGCGATTGCCCCCTACAACGCCCTCCTCGAGTCTGAACTATGTCAGTAGTGAGCTGAAAAAAGCAATCTTTTAAGAAGTGAATAACGATTGAAAGTGACTGTCATTACCCCACACTGAATCAGGTAGGCAAGGTCAAAAGCCATTAGAAGGGAACGTATTTGTTTTAATCGGCCCGCGCCAATACGCGGCGTACGGGCCGCATCTCGCAGCGCATCCCGCATTTTGGCAATGCGGTCCTCAAGCCAAATTTCAATGAGGGACTCCGCGTCCGCCAAGTAACCCTGCACCCAAAAATATAAAAAAGGTTATACGTATTATACTTATATATGGGACACGAATTATTGGTCTAATGGCGGGCGTGGGTGTACTTGTGTGTTTGGCAGATCGAGCATTTGACCGGCCATTTACAAGCGTGATTATAGGCGAAATAGTAGTAGACGAAACATTAAGACTTTGGTTACACTTTCGTGTTTATTTGCCATTAATTTTTTTTAGCGCGAGTGGCTGGAGGTACGCCAGCCCGTCGGTCGTTCAAGGCACCCTTTTTTGCGTAGGGTTAGGGTTAGGGTTAGGGCTTTGGTTAGTAGGTTTAGGGTAGGT